TCCACTCCGCCTGGCTCAAGAATAACCCGGAATACTTCGACGCCTTCCTGTATTGGATCGACGAAGTCATGTCGCAGCACAAGGACGTCTACTTTGTCACCATGACGCAGGTGTGTGTCATTTACATACGATACGTATATTTGAACTAATTGGATATGACTGGAAAATTCTTTTTCGTCGTCGTCGTTTTATTTTTTGTTTCTCTCGTGAGTTGATGTTATTAGACTCGTTCTGGCGCAGTAATGCGGTACAATTTAATGCAGCATTCGAAAAACGTTTTACAGGGGGGGCCTTGAGCGACGAACGTCATAAGCGACGAGTGGTTTAAATGAAGAACCGTGATTCTGACGTAGTTTTGCCTCAAGAAACGAACTTGACTTGAGGAGCAAACCTCAAGTCGAGGAAGGAAAATCGTTGGATTTTGTTTTCCTTTTAAAAATTCTATAAATTTGTTTACATTTTAATGACGATATATTCACGAATAAAGAAAGAAGAATTCGAAAAAAAAATTTACGTTGGCGGAAAATATAAATTATGAGGGAATTTGAATTTGCCGTGAGGCCCCAAGATGCGGATGTAATTGGTACATCATGAGTGTCCCTGAGTCGAGTCTCATTTTCCCTTAGACTTACATTATATAATTTTTAATTGGGGTTTTATGGACAAAATACTCACCATAATTCCATGGAAATAAAAATTGTCTCCAAATTTAAACGGAATTGATATATTTCAACACAATATGGACATTTAGGAAATTCAATACTGATACCTCTGTACAGTACATAGGAATGTTGGCATTCTCTGTAAAAATAACATTCAAGTGAAAAATAGAGAAGGAAGTCCCTCTATGCTGCAGGTAATTTTTTAAATTTGCTAAATGGATGGTAAATTGGTGAGAGAAATGCCCAAGAACTTTTTGTACATCAATTTTAGGGTTGGAAATATATGTTTCTTGTAATTTGGCCAGAAATGAATTAGCAATTTTATCCCAAAATTTCCCTATGTTGAGTCAATGTCCTCATGTTGGGCCTTTTCATTAATTTTTTAAGGGAAAAAAGTGTCCGTATGTCAAATTGTCTGCAGGTCAAGGTGTCCGCATGTGGGGGTCTCACTGTACTTTGTGTATTCAATTTTCTATACAGTATTTTCAACCAAAATTTATCAATCACAAATGTTTTCTTTGAGATTTAGAAATGGTTTTGTGGTGTGGGTATAAAGTTTATTTCGAAATAATATTCATAAACTTCTTATCAAATGTGTGTCATTTTAAAATCGTAAATTCTGGAAGTTCATTTTCCATCTAAAATTGATTTTCAGTGTTTTTAAAGACTCCTTTTTCATTCCTACAACCGCGCCAAGTCACTGTAAAATGGCATTAAAAATAAGATCTTGCTCACTCGAGTTACCAATCAACTGCAGGTGCCAAAGTTTGATTACTCATTGTCTGAATGAAAAATCAAAATTTTTTCATCACAGTTGAAATCGCGTTGTAAAGAGTCATTCTTACAAAAAGAGTTAACTGTACACGAAATTGGGACATTTCTGAAATCGAATATTTAATTCGAATCCGAGTTATTTTTTCCGGCCGTATCAGAAAATAAATGAGCGAAAAAAATTCCCGAGTAGAAAATCATTTTCATTTGACCTCCCTACTGATTCAGTCTTTGATTTCATTGATTTATTATTTTTATTATTAGTGTATTATTAATTTTATTATTATTAATCTTATCATTATTTTAGTATCAATTTTATTATTAGTATTAATTTTATTATTAGTATTAATTGTATTATTAGTATTAATTTTATCATTAGTATTAATTTTCTTATTAGTATTAATTTTATTAGTATTAATTTTATTA